TTATTTTAGACCCTTCAATTTAATGTTTGATTTGAAAACATATAAATAAGTTCATTTGAAAACACTGCCATTTACTAAGAAATTATTTTTGATAGGATACCAATTTTCGTCATTTTGGAATGAAGTTTTTATGTATTTGCGAAAGATTTTGAAGTATTGATAAGTTTTGTACAAGAGTATCTCGTTATATTTCTGTCCACCATATTTTATATTTACAGATTTAAGATTCGTTTAATGACTCATGTTTATCTAATTCAGCCAATACCAGACTACATAGACACGTGATTTGAATAACATTAGGTAATTCGTTCAGTGTGTTTTCGTTAAAGCAGAAAAAGTGCAGGAAATTATTGGCAGAACTCATAATTCGCTTTTCGTGTTTTCGGTTCCCAAATTGTATTTTTGATTAATTCTACGAGCGATTTAAACCTTTGCTTGTGTGTGGCTGAGTGTTTTAGTGCGGAGTGATACACGGTAAAGTGTCAGAATCACTGCGCGCCAGTGCTTATTGAGAACATATAACGGTAAACCGCCGGATATTGGTGTTAGCTGCTACTGAACACGGGGTTAATTTACCGTTATTTGGCTGTTCACAAACTGGCAAAAATCGCAGCAATTCGCTGATGAAATATCGCTGGCGTGTTTAGGAGAATAGCCCGTCACAGTAAAATACCGTCTTTGCATTTCAGAATCAATAAAGACTAGCCACTTGGAATCGTCTCGCTGAGAATTGCTCCAATTGTCGAGAATTGACGACGTTGATTTCCAATAACATTTATCCGTTTTTCGGCTGTTATGTCCATATTTCAGAAATGGAAAGGTGTTATGCTCCGAAGCATCGCCTTAACCCCTGTACCTTAAAAAATATGACAGCCACACAATACTAAAGATCCAACTCGTTATATGAATTCGAACAGATCAACATTTTTATCAAATCCATATTCGTTTTTGAGAGAGTGTAACGGAAAGAAAATAGTTGTATTTTAGATAAATGTTTATGTTTTCAGCCGGAAATGAGGCTCTACAACCAACACATGCACGTATGAATGGCGCGATGGCGATAAGAAACACGTAAGCTCCCAACCATAGAGATAAACGATATTGTTTTACACTTGCCTAAAAATACCTAACCAGAGCCGTTTAAGATACGTTTAGTTTAGTCTTGAAACAGGAATTAGAATGCACACAACGTGGGTCTGGCATGTTGTGGGGAACTCTGGGGGCTGACACTACGCATGAAGGAATACACGCTCTTCAAAACAGCTGTTATGATTGAATTAGAGGAAATATTTCATAAGAAAACGAACGAGTTGATGCTCTCATTTGGCAAAATATGTTGGAGTATTTATTGAAAGTTTTATGGAGTAACGGGACTATTTGGACATGTGAAATTGATGAAATTTATTCAGGTTTTTGCCAACTGTGATTGAGTCGATTCCCATGCATGTAGTCAATTTAAACAAAGTATTATTTAAATTGGTAACTGATATTTAGTATTATCGTGACACTAAAACGAAATTAGTTTAAAACCAAATACGTATGGCAAATTTGAATGTCAGCTGTGAAAACTAATATTCTGACCACAAAAGAAAACTATAATTATTTAGTGTTTTATCACGAGAAAACATACATTTTCTTAACGATTAAGTATATATTCGTAAATCATTTTTCATTTATCGATGATAAGTTTAAAAAAGGGTCACAGTCAATAAACAGATAAAAAAAAATTCGTATTGAACGATACATTCTGAACCATAATTCTGAACACCAATATTATTAAAATTTGAAAGCCGGCTCTGATAACCAGAGAGGATTGACACCCTTCCATCATGAGAAAATGTATACATTTGCAATTATCAGCTTTCAATCACAACACATGGAGTTTTAATTAAAGTCTTTCACGTGGTGTGCCAGAAAGCAGAAATCGATGTCCTAAGTTAAATCAAACAAAAGAGAGAGACGCTGGTTCCAAGTTTGGTAAAATTCCTGGTTTTGTTCATTCCTGGAGGGGAATCCAAGTCTTCAAGAGGTTCAAGACACCACTCGTCACGGACCGGTGTAATCGATAGATCGATATCTATTCAATATTGGCCTCTGTCTAGACACTGGTCGACTCACGCAGGGGGGAAAGGGGGATTCATGAGGGGGATTCTATGGGGGGTATCATGCCACAGTTTCAATAGATGGGCTTGTTTTACAAAAGTGAGCACTGAAAACCAATGTGTTTTAATGGACACATTCCTTACCATGCTAGTTTCAGAATGAGATTTTCAATGGCAGTTTCTGACGAGATTAAGCTATACGGAATGACTTTGGTTATGCTGAGTCACAAATGGGACTGGTCAGTAATTGGTCAGCAGACTGGTCATGTTCGACTGAGCGGTCCTTGAGGAGGCACGTAGAATCCTCTTGAGACGGAATCAAATGTTATGTTTCACATTGATGCTCGTGTTCTACAGGATATAGGTGCCAGAGAATCACTTCTAGGGCGGTGCTTGTCTTTGACACATAAAGAACTATCTCCTTGTGTGATTCCTGAAATTTAATTTGTTTTTGAAGACTTACACGATGAATGACAAGGCTGACTCTTGTTCTAGATACAGAAATATATCTTTGATAATTTAATCTCTTCTACGATGCTTAAGTTTAGATGTATCTATCATGTAATTAACACTACTCAAACACTTGAAACACAGGTCTTTGACGATTTACTGAAATTGTTTGCATATATTTACCTGATAAATGACTCTGAAATCAAATCTTTCAAATTTTATTTGTTTTAAGACACTTTCGTGAAGGATTTATATTACCTAACAAAATTAACATTTAATTGTCAAATAAATTCTTAGGGATGCTAATGATTAAGGTTTATAATTAAATCATGATCAGTCTAAGAACTATTGAGGAGTTGACAACAAAAATTACAAAATTATCAAGCTAGATGGTATATTTTGATACAAATCGTTTGAAATCGTTTACAAATAGTACACTGACGTGTTTCAGTCTGCTGCATAGCCGACACGAAACGTTATCATATTATATTTTATAAACTCCATGTCAACACAAGTAATGTATTTTAAAAACATTCTAACAAAAGGCGTTTTCATTTATAAAAATTTATTGCAGAACCCATAGCCGAGAAACGTGCTTCATGAAAAGAAAAAAACTACCCTCAAAATAACCGAAAATAAACGTATAACTTCATACTGCGGTTAAAGATTATATGTGGTATTTGCACTGATCTATTGCCTATCAAATACAGGCGTGTCAGAAATCGTACCAAATACGGTAGTGTTATGAATAGATTTTACAATAACAATGTTTACAGATTCGGAGTGTTTTCTCTGCAACGCGATATGTGCGTTATACAAGACATGACATAGCCTTTTGATAAACTGATCCATTTTGTATTGAGAGGTCTCGACGAGCGAGCGAGTGGAAGTGGTGTTTCGACATTTAAAGTGTTAATTTCAAAGCCAGATATATTTTCTATTTCTCAACGTTTCGCTACAAAATGTTCGATGCGGTCGTTCAATGTGACATTAATATTCTATTATGAATTTAATTCATTGACATTATTCACACAAAATACATATTTTGATAACATACCTCTGGTTGTGATATCAAGCTTAGATTTCGACAAAGCTTCAAATCTTCAAAAGGGATTAAACGGTTTGAATGAAAGAGTTCATAATTAAGTTCGTTTCAAGAAGAGAATACTATTCTCACACCTGAATCAGCACAAATAACAACTTGATATCCCCGAATTAAAAAACGACTAAATTGATTTTATAACTATATACTAATTCTACTTTAAATGTCACTCTTTCAAAAAATAACCAGATGTTTCAAACAAACGTGTTAATAATTCTGTCCATGCCATATTAGTATACTTTCAAGAATTTTGTAATTGGTCAATAGACATTGTGAAATTTATTATCAACATTTAAAAACGAATTCAGTCTCGAGTTCTCTCGAGTGTTCGCCGTCCCAACACAGTTCCTATGTAAACACAATTCAGTATTAAATATTAAACCCTTAGCAAATATTAAACACAATGAGAAATATTTCCGCCTCATTTCCCTTGAACACCAGGAACAACGAAGCCGTCCTGAGACACGCTCCTTTATAATCAAAGTTTGGGGAAACATATGAGACTATTTCAAATGTTGTATCACAGGAAACGCTCTTAACACATGATTTTAACATAAATCTGTTTAAATGGTCTAAATGATAACATTCCGGAAATCTTAGAATCTTATTGGACCCAAACTCGGGCCATTATCCATTAAAACCGTATCACAGAGATATTGGAATATAATGCCTCCTGAAGCAGATGTAAGGGGTTTTTGAAAGTGAATAAATACTAAAGCTCGCCTTGTATTATTCTTCGAGATTTGTGATTGAATTGAATCCCACGTCAGACGTGGCGATTTGCAGCGATTGAATTAATTCCATCTTTATCCGTTGGAGACATTGGAATACAACTTTTGGAATTTTCTCATGTGTTTTCCCCCAAAACGCGTCCAGATGTTGTACCCTGAACTTTGACAGTGCTTCGAGCTCGGGTGAATTGAGAGTGACGCCGGTTTTGTAAACGAGTCTAAAACGTGATGTGTCTAACAACAAATTTTGTAACTATTCATTAAATTTTGTTTTTCTTGTGTCACTCGGTAGCTGGGACATTCACCTTTTCCAGGCGATTATGCCTCCCAGAAGACGCCAAAGAAACATAACGGTCTTTCCACAATGGACATTTCGAAAAACAACGAGGAGTAATTTTAGGAGTAATCAAATTTGTTTCACTCTCAATTTTCTCCGGTCGTGTTTTGCCTGCGATTTGACCTAATAACTTGGTCCCTCTTTTATACGGGTTCAGACGAGGCAAGGAACACTGTGAGGAGTTCGATTTTTTTACACGGGGCATTGTCCCCTTGTGAAAGGACCCAGCTACTGTGGGTTGTCCCCCCGGGCTAAGCAAAGCATAAAGAAGAACGAGAGACATTTTAACATGTATGTAGGGCTGTCTTTTCTACAAATTGCAATTACTAGTACATCATATCGTACAAACAGCAGCTAGAACCCGTATGCGGAAGTTCCACGAGGATTATAGAATCTTTTTTTCGGAGGAATGGCGGCCCGCCGTTCCTCCAACGCTTTGCCAGATCAAGCAAAAACACCCTTGATCAAACATAGTTCGGATCAATTCAGTTCCACTTTTGGTAGCACTGCTGGCAAATATTCTCGTTGTTGCGGGATCCATTTGCACTCTTACTTATTCTCGTTGTGGAAAAATATGTACAAAAATTACATTTCATTTTGTATATTGCCTTTAAAACGTCCATTACACAATTGTCACAATTGAACGCTGCACAAATTGGACGCATTGACGTTGAAAGCATCCCCAGAGCATCGCATATGCCAGCTGGCTTACGCCCAATTCACAATATCTATATGTACAATGCACCTTAAACATAAACACAAACACTGAAAGGTCTCTGAGGTCCATATTTCCTCGTAATGAACAGTTGTCTTCAGGGAAACAGTCTCGGTTGGGAACAAGAAACCTAGGTGTTGGACAGAATCGAGGCTTCTGCGTTGACCATAAAATATCATAGGTTTGAGAAGATACAAACTTCTCATAATTTTAGTGAGAATTTCAAAACAAATCTTCAAAATATCCTTTAGCATAAATATTAGTTTCATAACAGTTCCACATACAAGTACTAAATGAACATTATAAAGTTGTCCAGTAATAAATAAACAAAATATTCTCACAACATACGTAAAATACAATTTCTGAGTATTTTAGAAAATAAATAGCTCAGAATTAGCTCTAGTTTTCTTGATTTCCCGAGTCGTTTCTTTTAGTATTCTGAGCATTTCACGTAATACACAGCTTCTCCATCAACGGTCATTATCGTGTCCCGGAAGTCCGTGTTTCTAATCTCAGTATGCTTCAAGTCTCCCCAAGTCACACGTGACTAAGTGGCTGGGGTTTTGCACCCTGATAGGACGGGTTTGTATATTTTGTCATCATTCTACTTGGATGACTATAAGAATGTTTGTGGCACAGTTTCCCGTGGAATAAATTTCTCCAAGAGTCCACGGTTTTTCCAGTCCAAATCCAGAATCCGGATGTGATTCCGACAACAAGACACATAAAATATTTCAACATAAACACACTATAGTCCGGCCTCGACCCAGGGGACTCGTTGCCGCAGGAGGGACAGGCCCACGTCCGCTCCCAAGCCTGACGCAAATGCTGTTCGTAAAAGTAACATGCGATCACAATGGTGGCCGGCACAGTGTATAACACGGAGAACACTCCGATTCGAATCATCAGACGTTCTAGTTTATCAGTCTTCCCCCTGCCTTGTTGTTTAATAACGTTTCTGATCCTAAACAACGAAACGAATCCGGCGAGAAGGAAGGACGTCCCGATGATAAGGTAAACGAATAGTGGAGCTAACACAAATCCTCTGAGATTCTCGATATTTTGTCCCCCAACGTAGCATATCCCGGCTATAGGGTCCCCATCTACTGAGGACATGGCCAAAACGGCAATGCTTTTCACAGACGGGATGAGCCAAGCGGCGAGATGGAAATATTGGGAGTAACTAGCAATCGCTTCTTGTCCCCATTTGAGGCCGGCTGCCAGAAACCACGTGAAAGACAATATGACCCACCAAATTGATGAAGCCATGCCGAAAAAGTAAATAAGTAAGAACACGACTGTGCACACTGCGGGTCCTGTGGTCTCGTAGCGGATCATATCATTGTCACAGGCCACCTGTTCGTGGCCGACGATGAGGCGAATGATGTATCCTACACTTACCATGAAGTAGCACGCACTGAGGAAGATGATGGGCCGCTCTGGGTATTTGAACCTCTGCATGTCTATGAAAAAGGTACTCACTGTCATCGAAGTGGATATGCAGCAAAGAATTGACCACAAACCGATCCAGAATGTCGCAAAGGTTCTTTCGTCTTGGGTGAAGTATGGGCTGTAACAGTTTACGGCACAGTTGGGAATCCCGCCTGTAGATATGCGATTGTAATAACCGTTTGAATCTTCGATGATTTTCACAAGGGGTTCGCGACATCCACAAGTGCAGTCCCTCTCTGTGGACCTGGTTGGGGCCCCTGGGATGGGCTGGACCCCCGCATCTCCGGGGACGCTGGGGTTGAACAGGGAACCGCCGCCGCCGCCGTCGGTGGGTTTACCCGTGGAGCCACCCTCTCTAGGTGGGGCTTGGGTTTGGGTGTCGGTCGTGTTTACATCCATGCATAAATGGTCCTTGTCGCCGTATTCAGGTAGATTTTCACAATTCATTCTTTCAGGCCAAGCAAATCCATATTGTCTCATGAGAGGAGCACATCCTTTCTTGGCTCTCTCACAGACCGATCGACAGGCAGGGAGATGTTTCTTGTAATTCGTCATACAGATCGGCGCGTACATTGAACACAGGAAAAACTTCAAGTCAGCTGAACACTGAATTTCAACAAGAGGCCAAAATTGGTGAACCTCAAGTCCTGCCTCCTCTTGGGTCTCATGGTTGAATTGGTTAGGCATGTAGGTATTATTGTACCCGATACTCTTACACATGGGTATTGTGATTTCCTGGCATTTCCTGGGTTGCTCTGTCCCCCGGGCACACGGGAGGGACAGGAGGAGAGGGATAAGTCCCGTGATGACGATCCAGGGGAAAGGGGGGCCTCCGCTATTGCCCATACTGAGCTATAACTTGGCTATTCTCTCACTTGGAATAAGTAATGCTTGTTCAGGCTAACACATATTTCGTCGTCTGCTGCCACAAAAACAAACGCACTCTGTTCATGTTAGAGAATTATTCCAGTGAATGCATATCGGTTGTCCTGTTGTGATTAACTCCGGTCAGTTAGAACTGTAGAACTAAAGTCCAAATCTTCTTATTCTTATAGAACACTGAGCATGCCTTTGACACGCAGTGTGCTTCCAGGTAGACGAGTCGGCGAATCCCTATAAACAGGTGAAAAGTATTCCACAAGACGATATCCCACCGTGGGAGAGCAGAGGACTGCCTTGATGTTTGGGCACATCCAAATTTTACCTCCGAACTAGCATCTATCAGTCGTCATGGCTCTCGCCCTCGACTGCCACTTTCACAGCTCATTAGACACTCTGACAAATGACGTCACCTGTCAGTCACGCGAGCGTAATCCAATCAGGTTCCGCGGAGGCTTGAGCAAATTGGTGGGGCGGGGCGAAGGCGGGCTCTGGTTACAGCGGAGTTGTGGCGCTTCTCCGAGCGGGCTCTGAAAATAAAGATACGACTATGTGAGCATTGTGAAGTCTCGGCCGGGACTCTGTTTGTGTACAGAGCCACGAATAAGTAGTATAAAAGTGACACTAGATGTGAGTTACAACACGACCGCTTCGTCAACGCAGGGGAGTTCATTAATAGACATTTTCGTGTTGGGCGACTGGCTTGCTCAAATAATGGTTTAGTCGAATAAAGGAACGGCGAATGGCCTTGTGTGGTTCTATAGTCGACACTATTCATACATGTGTTCCCCGCTAAAGATTTCTATTGTGGACGACTCCATAAAGAAGACTTTTTATTCTACATGGTAGCACGCTGTTACGGGTAGAATGGGACACGGTTAAAGCGTCTAATCGGTACGCGACGGAACGTACCCTTTTGTCGATAGCCTGCCATGTCGATGAAAGAATTATCTGACAAAGTCACCATGATATTTGTGGAAAGAGGGCCCGTTGAAAGAGGTTTACAACACTTTCAATGGGCAACATCGCCTTGGAATACACACACACACTAAAGGTCCGCACAAATTTTGCCCAACGACGATTCGGGGTAAAGCGAACGCATTCCCTATGTGTTGATCATGCACCCCTTTTGTTGAGGCCACACCGTCCTCCGAGTCCGACTTCATGCGTGTTTAGTTAGGGTAGAAAACAAAATATTCTAACCGAAGAAGGTTTTATTTAGCTTTTCTCGACCTAAGGACCAAACCGAACGGGGCACACATACAGAGATCATGTCCCGGTCTATGACTCTGTGATGTGATACTGGATCTCAAAACAGATGAAAAGTCATCCTCAAACTCCGTTACCTGTTAACTGCAAAGCTACCAGTTGTCAAATTAGGGAGACATTTATGTCAATGTATTATTGAGGCTGTACGTGATCATTTTGACAATTTCCCCGAGGTCGGCGGGTATACATAGAGTCCAATATGGTCTTATAAAGGAAACCGTTTGAAAAGCTGGTTTTGAAAGTAGCTGATTTTAGTATCACATAACGAAGTGTGTTTTAGATCTGTAATGTTAAAATTCATAACTTTTAATTACATTATTTGATTTTATTTACCGAGAGTGCGTGATGGTGTTACATTTCCTGTGCTCTGAACTATTCATGGGTTTAATTTGGATCGGGTGACTAATAGCACAAGGGGTCCGTTAGCTTGGGTCTGTTTGCTTTGCTCGGTTTGATTCATGGAGTAACTTTAACTACATATACACCTGATGTCCTGGGGTTATATTGAGCCTTCCAACAAATACCCGTGCTCAACAAGGAGGAGTTGGTTCATTAGGGCCAATCATTATTATACCAATCAAAATATTCCAAATATAGAAAGTGCTTTAATAATTTCCAATTTGATATGTATAAACAGGAATAAAATTTATTCACAAAACGTATTTATTCGTTATACTATCGAAATAAATAGTCCTTATAAACAACGTAGGTGAATATAATACTCGTTGTCTTCGTGTTATTAATAATCACTATAATTCAAATATGAATCAAATATAGTGTTAACATTCAAACATTGTTACTGTATGTATACTGATATGAAATAACACGCTGTGGTTAATTATGAAATAACATGCAACAAATGGTGGGATTACTTTCTAAAATGTGACAAAGTTGCAAAATTACATTTGTAGAAAAAAATGATGTATTTTGGGAAATCATGAACTTGAATAACTTATATGTAACGACTCGGTTCTAAGTGCTTGTTGAGAGATCGGTGGATTTATACCAAAACAGATTAACAATGTGCGTGTCAGGAACCCCAACGACTTATCATTGTCAAAACACAAAGAAACGGCCCTCCATGACATAAATTCACGTCAACCCATCACAAAATATGAATTGGGTAGCTGAAACGAAATCGGATTGCTTTGTCATGATTGAAATGTTCGTGTTATCATTTAAGTTGAATAACTAGTCAAGTCCATATTTTGACTTAATCTCTTCTAAGCATTAGCTTGGATAACGGGAAGATAATCCCGTGATGTAAGACCTCCGAATTAGACCTCCATTGTGTTGGCTTGACATGAAACACAATGGGAAGGAAGATATTTCACACATAAGTCTTGAACGATCTACACCAGACCATGCTCATTATCACATCCTTGTTCGTATCAGAAAGGGCTAATTAGATCGCACTTTTACTGTCAACCACGCTGGGATGCCTGCGAACTGTAGTCAAAATTTCACAACTTTCTTTGATGGCCGTGTAACGACTTAAACACGCTGACAAAATGAGTTTGGGGGAGGTGAGAATAGTTTCCACGGGGATTACATGCTGAGCGACCAAGAGTTGTTTTGACAACTTCGCATCTCTGATAAATATTCGTCAAATTTTGCTAATTACATATGCAGGGGGTCCAATATGTTGTCACGTGTGAACCTGCCCTAACCCAAAACATTTTGAGTAGATATAAACCCACATCCTCTACACTCAAAACGCAAGCTGGGAGGGGGTTTACAGTATCAGAAATTTTGAAACTTTTCCCCCGATTCTAATCGGTCTCGCACAGCGGTCTCGTTACTTCCATTTTGTTACTCCGCTATCGCAAAGCTCCCTACAGCGTTATGAGATTTTGATTGGATAAAGACTAATGGACATGATCATGTGACCATACGATAAGTTCCCGCTGATAAACGGAGGGCTAGAAACACTTAAAAGTTCCCAAAACAACTAATGTTTCTCTGATTTACAACTCGTAACCAAATAAACAACACTTAAGGTTTCTCTAAATATCCAAATGTTTCAAAATTGTCTCGCCCGATTATGAGAAAGTATTATAACTACCATTTCGTAACCTTTTGTAAGAACTTTTTTTTATATAAATGTCGACTCAATCCTGAAGGCATCACAAGTTTGGAATCCTATATTTTAAAAAGTATGTTTGTTGAACTTTTTAAAATCTGTATGATTGGAATCCATTGTGCAGACTGCACAAATTGGATATAAATTTTTTCAAAGTATGTTTCGACATTGCGTATGACCTGTTCCAACTTTACAAAAAACAGTGCAAATACAAAAATCCTCCAAAACCCGATTTGAACAAAATAGTAATGGCAGCATTTGTAAATCTTTACGTCTAATAACCTTTTAAACAAACAACTGCGATGCCAGACAAATCAGTGGCGCCAAAATTGTATGACTTCTAATTTAAGGATTTTATTTTCAAAAATTCCCAAACCCAGCTTACTATAAGAGTAAACAAGCCCAAACAATACATCTTAATGTGACCTTGATCCAAATATTTACTTTGTAACAACACATAATCGCCTCTCAAAACTCGGCACACGCCCATGTCGCTACACGGAGTTCCTGTTGACTCCCCACAGCGCATGCGTAATGCCCTCTTGACCCCTGGAGATTAAATAGTTACTTCCCGACAATGTTACAGCCCTTATTAGTGATGTAATAATAGTAGTTGATCAAACACTACTCGTTAGATAATCATTTAGGCCGACCATGTTGACAGAGGCCTCAATAAGTCAGCGACCCCTAGCAAGCGCCAAATGGCCTATTCATTAGGCGTCGGCACCTGGGCCGAAATTTTGACCTTATTTACAAACTTTCCTATCGCCGAACCATCACGCTGAGCAGATTCTTACAGAAATAAGTATCTTTGTAATGCAGCCAAAATATAGTTTTGTTGAATCCTTAATAGAAAAATGGTAATCGCTGAATTAAAAAAATGTGTTTAATATTAAAAATACTTTAATATAAATTTATGAATCATACCGGAATACAGATGAAGATGTAGAATATACCAGGACAGGAAATAAACTAATATATGCACACAAAAACTTGATATCAAGTTTGAACCATAGAACCAATGTAAGAAATTACCGATGCATTTCTCTAAATTAATACTTTGTGGTCGAAAATTTCAAAAAGCGCTTGGTTGACGCACAAAACCGCCCACATCAATCCATCAAGGACTCAAAAATGCACTTGTAGATGATGAAAAGCACTGGCCAATTCACTGCATAAAACATAGCCAAGAACGAATGATTCTATATAATAAATTAGCTAACGAAGTTACCAACAAAAACTACTAAGATGAAAATGACCGATTCCACTATATATTCTCCAATAATGACCAATAAATCATGACACATCATATCAATAATTTCAATTCAACCGATTTTATTTTGCTCTATCCTTGTCATTAATGAACGTATATTTGATGAGTTTGTGTAAAGGTAAATAGTATCTGTGTTGTACAATGCACCTGTTCTTCAATAGAATTTATTGCAAAGAATATTATATTATCTCATATATATATTATTTTCATACAATCCATATGAAAATGGTCAACATTGATTATTATTAGTTATTGTTACTACTACTACTACTACTGATGATGATGATGATGATGATGATACAACAATGCAATATATTTCTTAATTATCCGAGTATAATCGTTTCAAATGTTAAACTAAACAAACTAACATATAACTTATCCAACATTTTTCAACTTTTCATGAAAGTAAATAAAGTCATAACTTCATATTCGATCATATCATACATCCTAAATATTGTACTATCATCGTCTCTCTATACTTCGCACATTACTACACGACAAACATACCTGAAATGTTTATCCCAGCGAGCTCTAACAGGGGAAATCGTGTCAAAGATTAACAATAATGACGACCGGAGTGTCATAATCCAATCCCACGTCGTGTCACGCCAGTGATTATATTTACAATCCCGAACGCGTAAATACGAATCGTGTCAGCCAGAAACATAATTAGATGCCTTGTTTAAAAACCATCTCCAAGAACACAGACATTGAGCACGTGCACTAATATTCACACATTTTCATAGCATGTTTGACTTGTAAATATGGCATTTTGACTTGAGAGGGCCCATCTGCTTTGGGAGATAGCACTTTACGGTTCGAGGAGGAATCTAATACCTTGTAATATGTTTGAACATTATGTCAAAATATTATTTCACGTACGCCTAAAGTTAATAAACTAACAG